ATCCGGCTCTTGTCCCCGAGGCTTGACGATTTTCTTAGTTGCCATGACTATACAATTTGAAGATAGAGGGAGGTTATGAGCATTAAAAGAAAGATGAAGGCACACCGATACGCCTCCCATCGAGCAAAATTGCCTCCCTCGATGGCCTTAGGAAGGTCGATATGCAGCTTTTCTGTGCAGTCCGCGATTCTATTTCTCTCCGTGAAAGAGATTTCTCGGGATGCATCGACAAAACTGCTCATCATGACAGCTTCGCACCGTACACGTGAGAGTGCTTGGGATAAAAGTCAGAGCTCGAGGGCAGCAGCCACACAGGCTGGCGATGCTTGTGGTCTCCAGGCCGCCTCCCTCTCACCGCCCTACATCCTCCGACACACAACCCCTGCCACCAAAATGACTACGGCGCAAGACACCGTGCGGATGCCCAGAGATCACACGTTATTATAGACGACAAGTGAACCCCCATCACCCAGCCAGGGCGGGCCCCGGAAAGAAAGTCGCTGGCCACCACTCCTCCGCTCTTCGCTTGTGAGGCGCCTGATACGCACACTGTGGCAGCGCTCTTACCTCCCCATGTCCCAAAGGACATGTTACAAGAGATCTTGACGGGATCATGATGGAAAATACCTTGATGGTGCGAGTATCTGGCTGGCTAATGATAATGCGCAATAGGTCGGGATGACCTTTGAGGGAACGAGGAGAGAATTCACGTTGTGCCGCGGGAACGAGGGATGAAAAGAAGGCAAGAAAAGAGCAATATTGTGACACGCAAAGAAAAATGTTGGTCGTGTATGCAAATGTTCTGTATCTTAGTAATATAAAGATTTATTCGAGGAGACTTTCGTGCGATCATATGGTGCAGAAAAATGTGTCTGTAGTTTCCCCTGGTACGTCTCCGGCACCGTGACAGGGGTTTCAATTTCCACCAAGTACACGATCGATGACTCCTCATCTCACAGAACTAGACGAAATACAGATGATTAAGTATTCTACTGACGTTAAAATATCATCTGCTGGAAAAAAAATCATTCAAAAGAAGAAATATCGGAGGCAGTCGTGCATATTTAGACACCCGCCTTGAAGAGATAGAGCGAAAGAAACATTTCGTCGATTTTTAAAAAAACAATTATACAGAGTTCGGAAGAGCAATTGACCAGATTACGGGTGTTGTTCCACGCGGTTTAACACCATCTTGACACCATAGCTGCGCCAATACCTCCAAGAATGCTTGGCAAAGCTGTGGACAGTCGTAGAACCGCGCTGCCTGTGCCACGTAAGACGAAGATGACAAGTTACGTCGCTAACACTTTGAGGCACAGACATGATCACATATGTAAACCCACGTTATTCAATCGACGTATCGCGTCTCCTCGAAAAAAATCAGGGAACTTTGAAGGCTAGCTGTATGATCTCGCACTGAGAGAGACCTGTGCCACAGCACAATTCTCTCACATCTTGAGTCAGCTATATGACTGTCATCACTTTTCTCTACGCACGCAGTAGGCTGAGGAAACCGTGGTATCACAAAGGAAAAGCGCAGCCTCTAACAAAAGGTCTTGTGACCTATCTCCTGGACCCGCCTTACCTAGAAAGGATGCAGACATCACCGGCGCGTGTCGCCCGCGCTCGAGGACCCTGTGACGATGCGCATGGGGAGTAAAAACTCTCAGTATCGAACGGATCCATCTTCTGTGTCATTCACGAGGACAAGAAGGTGGGTGGGAGGGGCTCAGACAACAAAGTTCTTCTCATCTACGAGGCAACCCAGGCGGAGCCCGAGCAGACGCAGAAATAGACCAGGTAAAACGGCGGTATGTTGATAAAATGCATCTTGGCCATCCTCAAGTACTAAGAAACTGGTTTGTACCGTTCATGTACTCCCCTTTCGACGTCAACCTCGTGCACTCACCTCTCATCATGCGGTTCCAATTGCTGACAGTCTGAAGGAAGGACGCGCGCGCGATCCATCGATCACCTGTCATTTTTTCACCATGCAACCCCTTCATCCCCGCGTACAAATGACTTCATGCCCATGCAATCGCCACTCGTGCGCCAAGTGGCATTTGATTTCGTGCCCTCCTTCCCGCCCGTCGATCATTGGCAAGCAAAAAGGATCTGCAAGCATGAGAGAAAGAGGGCTCAAGGCGTGCAGCCTCGATTCGGCTCCAAATTGGATAATTGCTACATGTCCTCTATTTCCAGGCTTTCAGAAAGGAATCCTTACCGCCATCAAGCCTCGTCCATTCATGCTTGCCATACGTGACATCCCATGCAGCGTCATGCGAAGCATCGACCGCGTGAAGGGGGGAGGTCATCGAATACGGATGCCGGAGTTCTCCTGATGAGATCCTTGCTGGAGCGAATAAAACAATGTTATGTACATCGAGCAAGCATGTTCACCCGGAATTTCGATGCGCATGCATCAGATACGACATCAAAGTCCTCATGTGCACTTTTGATCAAGCAAAACAGCAGCACTTACGAAGCGAATGTCTTTTTTTTTTAAAGTCACTACATATACGTCATATAGCAGCGCGCTTCAATCACGCTTGCCTTCGCGCTTCTGTGATGAAAGTCTTCGTTTATGTGTGCTTGAGGCATGGAATGGACATCTTGACAGTCATAGTCTTGACTCCAGTTATAACTTCTGGCTTCGTGTTGTGACAGAACTTCTGTCATGCAATACGCCATGGCACCGCCAGGATCGTCTCATACGCCTCCTCACTCCTCATTCGATTTTTCTCCCCTTAAATCCGAGTATAGATACGACAAAAAGCTCCCA